AAAAGCTACTTTCCCTACTGTAAACTTTCCCAAAGCAATGCCATTCATTACAGAGATGAGGTTCTTCTTCTGAGCAGAGCAAAAGTATATATTAATTGCATATAACTAAACACTGTCTTGTCATTCCAGGGTAGTACAACTTTCATGACTTGCACAGCATAAAATAAGCAACTTTCAAGAGCAGTATTTAGAATAAGAGGTCATTTGTATTCTAAAGGTAAGGTAAGTGAACCACATACACTTTTTAATTTTCATTTAACCTGGCGAGCCTCAAATCTATTAGAAAGTCTATTTCTATGGTTTCCTGCATGGCTAGGATAATCAGAATAAACTTTGATGATTGTGGGTTTCAGTGGAGCTTTATGTTTCTTCAGAGGATTTTCAGCCTTGAAAATATTCTGTTCAACATACTGTACAAAGTGGTTGAGTTATTTTTTGGTACCTAAACAGTCAAAGCTATCTATATCTAATTCATCTAAAAGTACATCGGTATTGAATTGAAATGATGTTTTCTCAGATTGTATCTAAGTTGAGTTAAAGCATCAAGCCTGCCTCTCCACAGGAAGCATCCCATCCCTGCATCCTTGACCTCAGAGCACAGGTCACCGTTAATACATCTGGATCATTCACAACTCATTTTCCATTTTTACTCGCTTTCTTTCAATCTCTTCCCCCCTAGCTTATGCTCAATTCCCCTTCCTTCTACCAACATTATCATCATCAGCTCTGATCACAGAAACAGAAACAACTTCAAACTGGTAAAAAAAAATGAATAAATCCATGTTGTGGCAGTGAATAGTCACAGCAGCAGCGTCTGTTCAACATCCCTGATCCCTACAGTCCAACAGCAGCAAGAACAACAGCAGGAATAAAAAAGACTGCAAACACACTCACCAAGTTGTAACCACAAGACTGGAGTTTCCACCGGGACAAAGGGCCGAGGGTGCGAAGGGGTTCCTTAAATATGTCCCGGCGTCCTGCCGCTGGGGGGCCGGGGGGCGGGACCAGGAGTTCACACAAGCCCAAATTAAGTGTTGCTTAGCAAAAAGGTTCAGCAAAGTGGATCCTGTGTCAGGGACGCCATCATACTGGAGACATGTTGCCTAGGAGACAAAAAGGCAGAAGACAGAAGGGAGGAAAAGAGGGAATGTGCATGAACACTTTTACTGGACGGATGGCTTTTTAAAAGTTGGGATGTTTTCAAGGTTGATATGAATTCCAGTGTGTTTAGAGTAGACGCTCTCTATCCGCCCTCAAATCCAAATATGGACATTTTTGAGAATGATGTATGGTTTGAACAGTAGTCTTCTGTATATAACCATATTTTAGGTGTCAAATAGTGAGGATTCCTTTAGAATTAAGCAATGTACGCCCTTGAAATCAACGTATGCCCATTGAATTTGATGTAAAAGATATCAGGACACTCAGAAAACCCCTTAATAAGTTCATATTTCTTTCTCTTATTCATACTTTATGGAGCTTCCCTACACGTCCCTGGGGATGTGCTAATATGACTAAGCTAAAGCAGTAAGGGGTGATTGGAGGGTGAGATGGAAATCTGAGATCTTGTCGGAGCAGTCTGGTTAAGGAGCCCTTAAGGAGCCCTCTAAGGGGACCCTGCCAGTGACAGTTTGCCAGTGTCGTGGCATGTGTGAGGAAGAAGGGGGGTCGTAAAACATGCCAGACAGCTGAGAGGCAATATTGTAAGAGGGTGAGGGGGGGTGAGGCATATCCCAGACCTCCAGCAGACGACAGATCCCTGGGACGGCCTGTGCGAGCGCTGGTTCTGAGCTCTGATTGGCTCCAGTGTCTCCTTTTAGGGAAATGTAGTGTAACAGGTGCCAGAGGCTGCAGGCTGCAGACTGCCGCCAGAGCTCAGGCTCCTTATTCGTCACCTCGCACTCTGCCTGAGTCCCCATTATGGAAACACTATCCATCCACTGTGTGTGCAATAAGAATGTAAATACACCATCAACACACGAAAGTATTCCATTTGTAACCGTGTGCTGTCATGTCCCTCAAAGTGAGACGTTAGTAATGCTAACCTACATGTCTATTTCTATTCAGAGCTTTTACATACCAGAGAGTTACTTCACATTGTGTTGCCAACTGATAGTTGCTGAAAACTCACAAGAAGAGAAGAATAACTATGGCTGTCTTTGGCTGGTTAGTGCATCATTAAGCAATGCTTTAATGTTGTTGTTTGTTGTTGTGGAGCTAATTAGAACTGCCTTCTGTCTATTGCAATTCATCATTTCTTATAAAGTGATCATATGTTTTGTTTTGTTCATCAAAAGGAACCTGTAACTTCATACATTAAATGAATTAGTGAAGTATAATCCTCAACATCTCCCTTTAACATTTGGTGGAGTGGAAATATAAAGTATATGAAATCAATTAATCAATTAATCAAGACAGTGTATAGGTACAGCACCTTATTCCTACAGGTCACAAATTCCATATCATGAGTATAATCACATCTCAAGGCAATTTCTTGCGCCGTAAAGAGTCAAACTAGAGCAAATTGCTGAGTGAAAAAGAGTCAGAGACATCACTTTAGTTTTCGGGATAAAACCAGTGCTGTGTTTTGTCAACAGCTCCCAGCAAGTCAAGGAAGCACTTTTTGGCAGAGTCCTATCTCTATCACCAGGGTTTTATCAGGATAAAGCAGATATGTCTTAAATGGGTCATGGTTTTGAGGGACATTCGTCCTTATAAGGGCATCGAAGAAGCACACGGTTTGTCTGTCCTGACAGCTGCCCCCTCTGCACCTCACCCCCCCTCACCTCCTCCTCACTCACTCACTCACACACACACACACACACACACACACACACACACACACACACACACACACACACACACACACACACACACACACACACACACACACACACACACACACACACACACACACACACACACACAACTACACTAACAATTGCCTTTTAACCGTAAAGGCTTTCTCCAACAGTGATTTGTTTACCAGTGAAAATGCAGTGTACCATTATATGAAAACTATGCAACCAAAAAAATTGTGCACATATCTGTAATATCTAGCTGAAAGCCATTTAAATCCAAGTTTGTACAAACATGTCAGAAATTATTTAGCCTCTGTTGGTATTTGGATAAAAGGAAACTATTCAGAATTTGCCCCCGAGGTCAGAGTAGTTTAATCTGATTGACTTAAGCTGATTTGTATTAGTTCCACATAGTCTAGATGTCTTACTAGTTAAGTGGAAATTATAAAATGGACAAATAAGTAATAGCTTTCATAACTTTAAAACATATGATACTTGTCTGATAGCTTTGTTTTGCACACATCAAGTACCAAACCTTTGCCACAGCTGAGGAGTACATTTCAGAAATGGACAGTGACTACATCAGTGTTGTCTTTGGCCCCTAACAGCCGTCCTCGTAATGTGCCACATGCCGGCTGTAAACAGCTGCTGTTCTCTCAGCGCTCCACAAACGCATGCTGGCTGACATGCTTATCAAAACAATCACACAGGCGGCTATTTTGTTATTGTAACTCAATATACAGCAAGGACATGCAGTATGATAAGTGTGACAGCATAACCATTCTGATTGGAGACTGTTACGTCAAATGATGTCATAACCTAAATATATATTTGGTTATTGAATTTGTATGATGTCTGGTATCCTCATTATTTTTTAAAACCTTCAATAACTTAGGGCAACAAAACTATTTTTGAACACAATACCAACTATATACAGTAATGCTTATCTTCACCATTCAGTTTATAGGCAAGGGTTTTAAACAGTTAATTATTTACACATTTAATATCAGGTGCCAATATATATTATTTTATCTATCCTTTATTTTACCAGAAAGGTCCCATTAAGAAACAATCTCTTCTTCCAAGGAGATATAGTCAAGATGGACAGTTAGTAAAAATGTGCCATATTACAAGTACAATTGGACGCATAACATCTGAACGACAAACATAAAAACAGACAACAGACACATATAGGTACAGAAACAATATATTTAGAAATATATAATAATACTGCATCTCTTGGATAAAGCTAATAACGGGCAGAAAACATCATAAAACGTATTAGTCGGGCTCTTGTGTTATAAAATATGTTTTAAACTCCCAAATTCCTTTAGTTCTCTCTTATTGAGTTTATGTCTCAGCATGCCATGATGTGTCAGCAATTACAGGACTTCGATTTAAAAAGGAACAACTGGTTAACTTGAATGTAGATACTATACATGGCAATAAACACCTAATCACCCATGCATCAGTGCCTTCAGTATCTCTGTGCTTTGAATGTATGCCAGGCTCTGTTTCCTGAGTGCTGGGACCTGCTGTGGAGCAGACACATTATCAAACACTGCCAGCAGGTTCTCAGAGAATCTCAGCTCTATAAATATGTAGAGTGCTGTGAAAGTTTCCATGTCAGCGCTCCATTGTCCTGCGTCTCATATGTGTGATAAAGAGAGGTTGACTCAGATGAAGAGCTGCATAGGGGGTGATGAAGAGGAAAATGAAATGATTATTAGTGACAGCAGAGGGGAATGTAACTAAGTATATAGTACTGATGTTACAGTTTACTGAAGTAGGATTTTACAATAGTGCACAACTATTACTTGTAAAAGTGTTTTTATATTGTGTTCTTCTTCTTTAACTAAAAGTACTTCTTCCACTACTGTATGAGCTCATTGGAATTAATGAACTTTATCCACTCATAAATCAAAAGTAGTAAACCTAATACATTAATATGGATGAGGAGAAAATAGTAGGTTACATAAAAGCTCACCATTATCATATTCAGAATCGGTAGACATATTGAAGTATCTCAAAATGCTTCAATGTGGCACCTTAAGTCATACAATTAGTAAATAAACATTTCAAACCTACAATTATATCCAAGCACTGTAGTGAACGTAAAATACGTGAACGTAAAGTACGTGATGTGACGTCTGGACGAGGCCTTTCATTGGCTGAGCAACTGAATTGAGTCCATAGCAACGGACACACAACGCAACATATATTATCCAGAAATGCAGACTACTTATTAGAGCTTTACAACACTTTTGTTTTGCAATAAAGTAAGTCATTAATGATAACATTTAGAGGCATTAGTAACCGAAATACTTGACTTCTTAAAATGGGAGATAAAAAGCAACAAAAACGTGTTTTTATCAACGACGTCGACAGGTATTCCTCCAAACACATCGCCAAGGTAGCTAAGCTAAGCTAAGTAGCTAATGTTATATTATTATTATGTTATATATATTAAAAATGCAGAGGTGGGAGAAGTACTCAGATCTTGTACTTGAGTAAAAGTAGAAGTAATAGAGTGTAGGAAATTACTCAGGTACAAGTCCTGAAATCCAAATATTACTCAAGTAAAAGTATACCAAGTATTAGCTTTAAAGTTAAACTACCAAAAGTAAAAGTGCTTATTATGCAAATTGGTACATTTCTTAATATTATATGATATGTTTTGATTATTATTTGTGATGCATTAAAGTGTTCTCAAAGCTGGTAAAGGTGCAGCTAGTTTGAATGACTTTGTATACTGCAGGGTAGCTTGTGAATTTACTCCAGGTGTAACTAAAGTCTGGTTGAAGTGTTGATTATATTATATTTATATCTGATTTGTAGTGGAGTAGAAGTACAAGTAGCATAACATGGAAACACACAAGTAAAGTACAAGTATCTCAACATTAAAAAAGTACAGTACTTCAGTAAATGTACTTAGTTACTTAACTTCCCACCTGGTGATATATTTAGTGAAAAGTGGCATGTCTCTCATGAGGTAACAGCATTTTTCTGACTTTCCCAACAGTTTTTATCAACATGTGTGACCGGAGAGGACTCTGAGGAGGCAGAAGCAGTGGAGACCCCCCCACAAAGTGGACCTGTTTTCCAGATAGTGGGAACTTCCTCAACCAAAGATGATAAAGAAACCTCTCTGCTTGAACTATACACGGTGAATATACCAATAATACAAATACAAAATGGATGCTTTTACCAGAGCTGGGAAGAGTACTAAGATGTTGTTTTTAAACTACCAAAGGATAATTGGCTATATAATCTTTTTTGGTAGTCACCAACTCGAGAGGATCTTCTTGAGCGCCTGCTGGAGTGTGACGTGGTGTTGTACAACATCTCAGAAAGCACCTCAGAGCAGCAGGTTGAAGATGCAACATGGGCAATCACAGGTAAGAGAGAGAGTGAGCAGGCTGGTTATTTAGTGTACGGGCTTAAGCACTCATTGGTTTCTGTACCTAAAGATGTAAGACTATTGCTCTTTTCTTTGACCTCCTCAGCCCTTCATGCTGAGATTGAGAACTTCAAATCTCGGAAAATGTTCATCCTGGTCTCAAGCGTGATGACCTGGGCCATGACCAAGTCTCAGAATCCGGTGAGCCTGCTGGGGAAAATGAAGGCAAACACGTCCTGTGCATAAAACACAACCAACGCCTTTTTATATTCTCTCTTCAGGAAGAAACAAATGTTCTGCTAACAGAGGAAGAGTTTCGAAGAAGAAGGCCGCATCCAAACTTTAAAACCCACCATAATCTGGAGAAACTCGTGCTGGAACTGGGGAAAGGTGTAAGTAAAACTTTGAGATCAAAAGTTCAACATCCCTAATACATATGAAGGTAAATATCCTAACTGCATGGTAGCATGTTGTCCAGTTCAACCTTCATGCCATACAAATGAATGTTGCTATGAAAAGACAAACGATAGCAATGCCTGAAGTCATCACAGACTGTTTGATTTCCAATCTGACAGAAAAGGTCCAAGCTAACTGGATATGTTGTAGCTTGTGGTCTTCAGTACGGAAAGGGAGAGAACCTCTTTCACTACTTTTTCAAGGTATATATTAATGAGATAACGTTTCAGTATTCTGTATGGCAGTGTAAAAACGGATTCAAACATCATTTGAAATGTTTTTGTGTTTTCTAACAGGTGTCTTGGTTGATGCAGATGCCACAAGTTCCTCTCTTTGGACGGGGCACAAATCACATCCCCATGATTCACGTATATGACCTCGGAGGGTGATTTCCATTTACTGTACTTCTGTATAGATGCTTCTTTTCTTTGTGTTAAGGTTGCTGAAGGGCTCAACTGTGTTTCTTTTTCAGAGTGATCCAAAACATAATTGAACTCAGGCCGAGGACAAAGTACATTCTTGCTGTCGATGACTCCAAGAACACCTTAGAGGAAATTGTAAAGGTAAGCTTGTTATTAACATGAATGCAGCAATTCATTTCAGAAAACTGACGATGAATGAGTTTTTAAAACAATATTGCAGGTTATTTTCATATTCATACCACCACTGTACCATCCTTGAAAACACAATTTCTTGAGTTTTGAAAATGTTAAGTCTTTTAAAAGTATTTCACTCAGACAACTCACGTGTTTCTTAATATGTTTATTAGAGCAGCATATAGTTTGAGTTTGGCGTCTAGGCTCGGGCCTCATCACTCCACAGATTTACAAAGAACATTGAGTGATGATTAGATACTGTAACTGTCCCCCGAGCCTACAGGTGGAAGCTGGGGTGGAAGCTGGGGCAGGCGAGCAGCACTTGAACGCATCAGCAATGTGACAGCGCCGCAGCATTAGCGAGGCAGAGGCAGGCAGACCTGGCAGCTTAAATAGAGCGGCAAGTTAAGGAGATTGTGTTTGGTTGGTTGTAAGAGAGACGCGTCACGTGTATCATTGGTGCTCGAGTTGACTGCCTGAACTAGCTCGCAGGCTTCGCCCCATGTGTTTTTTTTATAAATGTGTACATGGACTCCCCCCCCCCCCCCCCCCCTTAGGGGAAGTCATCCACAAAAAACACACTGGACGCTGCACTAGGTCAGAAGCCAGAGGAGACTGTGAAGTCCACCGCAGACGGACCACTTTCGGACAAAATGTCCTCTCCATTAAAGGCAGCTCGTTGTGGAATAGCCTCCCAACTGAGATACGGGATTGTCCCACTCTCAATAGTTTTAAAGGTCAACTCAAAGAATGGTTGAGAAACAAACAGATGTGCAATCACCGCTAAATGCACTTTAACACAAGCACTTTTATCTTCTCCTGCACTTTATATGTCGTAGCTGCTACATTGTACTGCCATGTGGTTAATGCTTGTATATACTGCTCATGCTCTTTCTGCATATCATGTATTTATGTTTGCTATGTATATAAATGTCATGTTCTTAAATGTTGTATGTGAGGGACTACGGATGGAAATGAGCTCAAAGCTCAAATCCGGCAGATTTACATTTTGAAGCATTAATTGTTAAAAATGTTCATCGTCCCTCTTCAAATAAACGATTAAATGAAATGAAAATGTTTTGGTGTTTCTTACCACTTTTTATAGTGCTTTGCTAAGTCAAAATGATTACAAATTCTCATTCTCTGCTCTTAATACTCCAGATGATAAGCAATACGCTTGGGCCAGGGGAAATTAACCTCCTATCAGATCAGGACGCCATCACCATGAAGGCTTTTAAGGTACAGTATGTGTAATATATTCAAAATAAATGAGAATCTAGTCAGATTATTGCTTAACGAACACATCTCTATGCTTGATTATTTATTTATTTTCAGCCAGAGGAATTGGCGTACCTGAATATCAGCCTCCGCCTGGATAGTTTTGTTATAAAAGACTCCTTCAGTCTCGCCTGGACGTCTGTAGCTGGGATGGTAGAAAACATGGCGAACATTGTGGAAGAATACCAGAACACCAGGCAGCTACTTGTGAGTGTTAAACACAGATAAATACATCAGGGTTCTTACGGTCATTAAAAACCTGGAAAAGTCATGGATATTCAAAATGCTAATTCCAGGCCCTGGAAAAGTTATGGAAAACAATATTTTTCCCAAAGTTTTGGAAAAGTCATGGAAATGTAACTAAAGTTGCATCAAATATAATTAATATTTTATCTAATCGCCAAAATAGTAATACTATACTATAATAAATACTGTATCGTAATAATGAAACGTAAAATGGCTTTTAACTGACGAGGTATTTTGCTGGTGAGAGATTGTAGTTGCTTTAGCGTGTAGAAGCTAGTAAGCCTACTATTTGATTTGTTTTAGATAGGCACAACATGTTTCATATGCAGACCTTATTTTCCTGATCCATGTTAAAATAAACCATTTTCAGTGGTTCCACTGAGAAAGAGTAAGTATTTTGGTCATGGAAAATTAGGTAAAGGTCATGGAGAAGTCATGGAAAACCATTGGTGAAAAAGTGTATGAACCCTGATCTGTAAAGAAATAAATCCACAACAATCCCAACACCATTATGATTACAATAGTAGTGTAGAAGCTGTCATGACATCCTTTTTCATATATATTTCCTCAGCCAATCAGAATCTGCGTGGTCGGACCTCCAGCTGTGGGAAAAACCACCGTTTCAGAAAAGCTCTGTAATCATTATAAAATTCACCACATCAGGATCAAAGAGGTCATCAAGGAGAAGATCACACAGCTGGTCAGTGAAATAAAACATTGCATTTATGTTCCACTCACTGCTGTCAGCTCCTAAAACAAGTATACCGCCCTCTGGTGGTGGGAGTTTATCTCTGTGAAAAGAAATGTTTTGAGAGCAGCAATGATTTCTCAAAGATACACTCTTACTTACCATTGTTTGTGTTCCTTTCCATATGCTTCAGAAAGAGAGAATTGATGGAGCTGACCCTGAAAGTGTCAGTGAAGACGTAGCGGCTGATGCTGCAAAGACACAACTGGAAATCTGCAACAAAAGCATGGAAATGAATGCAGGTAAGTAAGCGAAACTCAACACTAAATAATGACAAACATTTTGCTTTATTGACACTTAAAGTTGGGGTTCGGATGTTTGCATACAGCTGCCTTGACATTACTACAAACTTGAAAACTACTGCATAATGCTATAAGATATTAAAAATGACAGTGTTCTGAATAAAGTGTTAACTGTAGCTTTTAACACATCTTAACGTTTTACATTAAGTTCTTCATTTGTATTCAACCATAGCCAACCACACATCTCGGACACGTGGTTGTGAACATGTTTAAACATTTTCCTGAGACCTTTGCATTTAGTCTGTCTGCAGATTGATTATTGATGGATCGTTTGTGCATAGTGAGTATTTAGTTCCTTGCTTTATGATTAAACATCTGTGTTGATCCTTCAGGGCGACTGGCTGACTATCTGGTTTTTGACATTTTGCAAGAAAAGCTGAATTCGCCGCCATGCAGGAACCAAGGATTTGTTCTCGACGGCTTCCCCAAGACCTATGAGCAAGGAAAGCTGATTTTCTCTGGTAAGTTTCATTCCATCCACGTAATAACTGCTTAATGCTACAACAACAACTAATGTGGTGTTTTTAACCTTCAGAGGAGGACCCAGAGAACCAGGATGTGATGATCAAAGCACCTTTATACATCAAGAAGATCACTCCAGGTGCTTGATTCACTTCTTACTTGAATTGACCAGAAATGAAACCCAGATGAACTCCCCTGAACTATCTCCTCATAGGAAACATTCTTATTGTACTGTTTTAATGTTTTGCAGAGCATGTTTTCGCCCTCAATGCGACGGATGGTTTTCTGACGCAGAGAGCTCGGGGGCTTCCACAAAGCGTGGCAGAGGAGATGAGATACACCGAGGAGGAGCTTTCCTCTCGCCTGACCAGATACAGAGAGTTCAGTGCCGCCGAGGAAACTCTGCTGGACTACTTCGATGAGCTCGAGATTCACCCAGAACATATTGGTATTTGAATCAAAGACAAATAGTTCATAGAAAAACATAAATAAGACAAACACATTATTGCAAGATCCATCAATTCCAGAATATTTATCTCCAATGTAGAAAATCGGAGAAATGATGATTTCTTGCCGTTTTTAAAGTTTGATATGATGCAGCTAAGACAAATATGGGCATGTCTTTGCCTTTTTGTAGTCGCCACATTTCTTTGATTCACATTTCAAAGAGCATATCACTTTGAGTTTTCTGTTTGAAAACATATTTTAACATTTATGGAAATGCCCTTTTTCGTTTTCTTGTTGCTTTCTCGCCATGAATCCATCTAATAGTGTAACCTCATGACAAACATCATAACGTTTTGCAGAGACAGGTTGTGTATCTTCACAGTGATGGTGTCTTGTTCCTCTCCAGATGTCACTACAGACGATCCAGAGTACGCAGACGTTGTGAAGAAGATCACAGAGCTGGTGGGGGCTCCTAAAAACTACGGGCTGAGTCGGGAGGAGCAGGAGGAAGAGGAGAGAAAGAAGGAGGAAGAGAGGAAACAGAAAGTGGCTGCAGAGGCTGCTGAGAGGAAACGCAGGAACGAAGCAGCGCTGGCTGAGATGGCTGCTCAGTACGACGAGTGGGTAAGTGCTGCGTGTTACAAGGATTCAAGGCTTTTCTTGTCGTGTGTGCATAGCTACAGTGTAGTCATGACAATTACATTATTAGGTCACAGGCTCCTCAACAGTGCAACACAATAACACAGATAATAGAAATAGAATATAGTAGAAATAGTCTATATACAAGTAATTGGAATATTGATATATATAAGTTGTAAATTCTAACATCCAATCGAATGATCTTGTCATTTCTTAGCAGGAGAATTTGTCAGAGGTGCAGCGGCAGGAGAAGGAGCTTCACGACGCTCACTCTCTTCCTCTGAGGAATTACCTGATGAAGTACGTGATGCCCTCGCTCACTGCGGCCATGACAGAGTGCACCAGGATCAAACCAGAGGACCCCGTCGACTTTCTGGTAATCAGAAAGCAGAGCCTAGATTTGCTGTTGAATATGTGTACGTTGATGCATCAGCTGACACTTCATGTGTTTTTCTTGCAGGCTGAACATCTTCTACAGAAAAACCAACAAGAATGACGAGGAAATGACCCGATAGATGATTCAGCCATTGGTACTTGTTCTTACTTGAACCTGTTGCCTCGTGCTAAATATCAATAAGAATGACATGTAAAAAAGTGTACTGTAATTAAGAAATGTGATATACTTGTACTTTTCTTATATGTTGATGCCACTCTAAACTTCTGATCTACTACATTTAGTCCATGTCATTTGTCTAAATAGTTCAATATGAAAACTTGAATGTAATGTAGATAAAATAATACAATTAATGTATTTCTTGCACGTTATGTGATTCATTAAACTGTGCATGCAGAATGTGAAATCTCAGGGTTCAACTTGAAGTCTGCTCTTTCAACACAAGGTGGTGCAGAAATTCTAATTCTTTGAAAACATGTTTTCACAAAGCTATAAAAGCTTCTTGGATTAAAGTGTCTCTTTAAGTATGTTTTTCAATTCCAGTTATAGACGAGAGAGTTCTCATGTAGTTGGATGCTTTGAAAATGTGTCATGCTTTGCTGTGCTTTTATAAAAAAATTAGTCGGGTGGTGGGAGAGGGCCTTTGTTATAAAATGGGTCATAAAATAAGAACATTTGGCTCTAATTGTTGTGGAAATAAAGTGGAATTTGCTTTGATTCTTTGTGACGGAGAAACTGTGGAATCCACTGGCTACTTAATTAGAAACTGTCTGAAGAGTCGCTCATATGGAGAATAAATCACTTCCTGTCACTTAGTCACTTTACAGTATGTGCCTAGTCTTACCACAATTAATGACCAGAATAGTATTTTATAGGTTAAAAAAGCTTTATATAGTAAAGCTATATAATTGTTCCTGTTACATGGTAGTTTCAGTAAATAGAAACTTTGTTTTTTATGTACAGTAACCTTTACTAAATATTATATTCTCATCTCCTTAAATTGCAGTTGAAGATATAACAGACATGAGGCTCCGTATTGATAAAAGGGGCCCTATATACGCTTCCTGTAGTGTGTTATACAGTGTAGGTTTTTGTACAAAAATCCCAAAGAGATTCCCAAAGTTCCCCCCAGAGCGAGTGTCTCTTCAACACACCCTCTTAACAAGAGGACACAAAGATGGAGGAACAGCTGCTCAAGGTAGAGCAACTGGCAAAAGGTGGTAAAGAAAAAGACTACTGCAAAATGAATGACAGCTTCTCAAATAAAATGACAGAAAATTGGCAGACACTGTCATTTGCAAAAGGGCAAGGGTCGGCCTAATCAGCCACAATACAAGCGTTGGCTTTGACACAGGAGAGGCAAATCAGGACAGACTTCCTCGGCAGGGAGCAGGTCCAGCTCTGTCACTGACATTTAATCTCATATTTACGGGGAGAAATGTCAAGATGTCCTGCCAAACACCCACACTTCCCGTAATTCATGTCTTCTTTATGTGTGAGTGGGTGTCAATCAACTTTTTACAGGACCCCAAAGTCAGCCGGCCCCTTCCTTATTACCGCTGTAAGAGGATATGATTCTGACCATTAAGAGTTATTTTCCCCACGATGCACTGGAGGAGGTTAGTAGGTTTATCCTAAAGTTGAAAAAAATAAAAGTTTAGAAGAAATGATGGGAATTCATTGTAAATAGCTGAGGCTGTATTTGGTCCTTTTGGAAAACATGACTCGTGATCGCAGATGGTCCAGCTGCCTCTTGTTGTACTGAGACTTCTCACTTGCACCAAAGCATGCTGGGAAAAGACGTCTAAACCGGCTGACTAATGTGCTTCTCATGTACTGTTACTCCTATAAATACGACCAATACTGCTATTGTATGACTTCTATTTCTGCACTATTTCTGAGTTCACTGTCCTAGTTTCTACCTCCCTTCAATTAGTATGAATACAGCTGCCTACATTCACTCTTTATAATAAAAAAGGAAAAGGTGAAAAAGATCTTAAGCATTGGTCGCTAAACCTCCACATTGGTAACAGCCAGAGGTCACTGTCTGGTCTACCATAATGGCCGCTCTCCAATGGAAAACCTTTAATCCAGGGGGCCAGACTTTTCACCTGAGCAAGCGAATAAGAAAGGTCTTATTCTGCGGTGCAGGGCGTCGCCTCGACTGGCTGAGACACAACTGGATGGTAGAAGTAAAATACACATTCCTTGACCTTTCATTTAATTCATATTCATTTTGAGCAACTTTCCTTTGGATTGTGTCCTAATGCTACACTTCCCCTTGTGTTTTCTTATTTTTAAGTCTAAATATGCATATGAGGTGATAAAATGTGTTAATAAATCCACAAGGAGGTTATGTTTTTAATTAGTTGGTTTATTTTTCTGTAAATCAGCAGGATTACGGAGAAACTACGGGACAGATTTTCATTAAAATAAGTTTCAGGGTGTAGCAAGGACCAAGGAATAACCCCAAAAATGTTGGCGCACACATTATTTTTGACTTAAAAAGTCTTGGAAGAGGTCTACACTCTCAAGTGACCTTTTAGCTACTTTAACTGTGTTTTTGTTCTGATATCAGTAACAGCACGACTTGCAGAAATGATGCCATGTAATCCATTATCTACCAAGAACAAATGAGAGACAGAGAGATGAAGTGTGTGTGTGTGTGTGTGTGTGTGTGTGTGTGTGTGTGTGTGTGTGTGTGTGTGTGTGTGTGTGTTGTGTGTGTGTGGTGTGTGTGTGTGTGTGTGTGTGTGTGTGTGTGTGTTGTGTGTGTGTGTGTGGGGAAGATTCAGATCTGAGGTGGTCCCAGTCAGCCATGTTGTTTTATCTGCTAGACTTCCAGTCACAATAACCTCTACCACCCTTGTAGTGGTCTCTCTCTCTCTCTCTCTCTCTCTCTCTCTCTCTCTCTCTCTCTCTCTCGCTCTCTCCTCTCTCTCTCTCTCCCCACACACACACACACACACACACACACACACACACACACACACACACACACACACACACACACACACCACACACACACACACACCACACACACACACACACACCCCCGTGGTGGTCACCCCGACATCTGCTGGTGGTTGAAAATGCAAGAGGAGGACCACACACACATAGCAACACACCGTGGTCGAGACGTATGTGGACAGTGAAGTGAACCATCTCAGGGTTTCTCCTTATGATAACACACACACATACACACACACACACACACACACACACACACACACACACACACACACACACACACACACACACACACACATACCTAGACAAATACCATGAGTAGTCTTCACACTTCAAGAAGGAAATGACCCTATATGCCATACATATTGACCTACCTCACACTCGTGTTCATGCACCCACACACACACACACACACACACACACACACACACACACACACACACACACACACACACACACACACACACACACACACGCACACACACACACACACACACACACACACACACACACACACACACACACACACACACACACACACACACTGTTACCAAGCTCTGTTAAACAACAGTGTTTGCTTTTGTTTGGTAATTAAAAAGCCTAAAGAAAGTGTGCATGAGTGCATGTGTGTATGTGTGTGTGTGTGTGTGTGTGTGTGTGTGTGTGTGTGTGTGTGTGTGTGTGTGTGTGTGTGTGTGTGTGTGTGTGTGTGTGTGTGTGTCCATGCATACAGACATGCTCCATGGTGCATTCAAATCAGTCACCCAAGGGGGTCCAAACTAAAAGGTCGACCAACATTTGTGTATTGTGTCTCCGTGTTGCTGGTGTTTGTTTTGCAGTTTTCCAAAATATGTCCACATCAATAATATTACTTGGTTAACAAAAGCAAACGTTTTATTTTCTTTAACTGCTAAGAGAGAGATATGTTCCTGCCTGTTCCTGCACATACTGTAAGCAGAACACTAAAGCGTTACATTTCAGTCGAGTTGAAGCTGCATTAACCCCTGATGAACTGGATTATAAAATAATTCTCACTCACATTTTCTTTGTTATTCTTGGCCAGTTTTTTAAAAATATATCTCTCTGGATGTTGCTAACGGTCAAGATTTTAATCGGTGGCATCTGACATGAAGGATTGCATACTACCGATTACATCTCACTACTGAAAACAAGACCTGAAATAACAGTGAACTGGTCCAATAAGATAAGGACTAAATAAGGACTCTGAAATCATATTCATGATTGTTTAAGATTTTATAATAATAAAACAGGCCTTGGGCGACACACGGTAATCCCACATATCCACCCAGTTCACAGCTTCAACTAAGGAGACAATCCATTAAATATAAAAGTAATAAATTAAAAGGTCTATTTGTCGGGGTCATGAGATTCTTGCCACTAAAGAAATACATCTCATCTTTCTACTATTCAATACAAGAGTTATATGCTGACTATAAACTCAGCTATTATTTCCTGTCAATAAATACTGTTTCAAAATGTTTTTTGAAGTAAAATGTCCCAAAGTGAAGCTACTTGAAGGAATTACTTACTTTTTTACCTTGGTGTTGAGTTAAGGGAGTCTTAAAGTGTCGAAACAAATGCCAAGCAAAAATGTGGTTTCCATGAAAATGTCATAATAACAACATATTTCAAAACAAGAACATCCCCTTGAAGGTCAACGTTTATTTCACTGCAGGGGTTGGTGGCGTCCTCCAAGTTAGGTTCAAATTATTTTTCGTATGAAGTTTAATGATCAGAAGACTTATTATGCAGCTGATGACATCCTGTGAGATCATTGCATATTTTCAGCATGTGTGTTCCTGCTGTTTAATCTGGCAGCCACTCGTGTGTGTAGCCTAGCATTACCATCCTTGTGGGGACCTACATCTGTTTACACAGTCACGTGTGGGGACTCGCCCCCCTTATGGGGACATAATGGAGGTCCCCATGAGGGGAATCATTAATTTTAGGGTGAAGACTCGGTTAGGGTTAGGGTAAGGGTTAGGCATGTGTTGGTTATGGTTATGGTTAGGTATAAGTCTCCAGGATATGCATGTAAGTCAATGTAATGTCCCCTGAAGTGATGTATATGGTATGTGTGTGTGTGTGTGTGTGTGTGTGTGTGTGTGTGTGTGTGTGTGTGTGTGTGTGTGTGTGTGTGTGTGTATGTGTGTGTGTGTGTGTGTGTGTGTGTGTGAGAGATTTGCATAACATGTTTATGATATTTACGGTAAAAGCAAGGGTGTAACTTTGGTTTGAGAAGTGAGGGGGACACAAAACAGGGGGTCCTCCGCAATGAAACATTTTCTGAATTTAATTCCATTTCCTGCCTTTCTACAAATATATTAGGGACTATAGTGTTAACAAATCCAATAAAAATGTGTAGTGTATATAATGAGTGTGCACACTTATCTAGTATCCTATCCATGTGAACCTGTTTTATTTGTGATGACCTCACATCCTCTAGGGGGGTCTGGGGGCATGCACCCCGGGAAGATTTTTTTCTTTAAATTGAAGTTGAATGCATCAATCTGGTGCACTTTGAGGGCAACATTAAGAGATGTATGGATACAGCTCTCAACACTTATATGAAACAGAACTGTATATATTTCAATAATCAAAAACCATTAGAATATGCTCACAACCAATAACACATATTTGATAAACTCCTCTCTCCTATCTTTATCTTACCTAGTCTGCATTCTTTCTTTTTATTTATGCATATTTGACTAATCACTCCCCTTTCAAACTGTGTTTTTTATTTT